TACAACAACCAAATCTCCTGGTTAGACCCAATGCCAGAGTGCTAAAAACACTTTCTTCCCTTAGCTGCCCTTTTCTACCTCAGAAGATTAAGGCTGTAGTTAACTGGCTATTCCTTAAAAGGATGCTAAATAACTTTAAGTTATGCTGAGACAAACTCTTGAGGTGTAAGGATGATCTCCTCTCTTGATTTGTTTTGTTTTAGAGCATCTTGCCCACTAGTCCTTCATCCCAGCTGGAAAAGTGAACGTAAACCAAGAAGGAAATGTACCTGTAGAGATCAATTGCATGTTGCTAGTGAATGACACAGGCAATGCACTGTACCTGATAACAAATGTATTATCTCTTTTCAGGAATTGACCTGGAGAATATTGTTTACTATAAAGATAGCACTCATTATTTTGTGATGACAGCAAAAAAGCAGAGTCTTCTGGACAAAGGAGTGATTATAAACGTATGTAAAAACGCTGGCTAAACCCCTGTTTTATTTACTTGGCATAGAATAAGTGTGAACATCTGCATAAACATTGTTGCATGTTATAGGGGGTGTTTATAGGCTTACTAGATCACTTCATTAAAGCTCAGATCACTTAAATATTGCTCTGACTTTTTGTTTGTGTTTGTTTTTCCCTCCAGTCAGCACAAAGTTTCTGTAGAGAACTGAAAACAATACTTCCTAAATTTGTCAGTTCTGAAAATGGCTGAAATGGGATCTTGACTCACCTTGGAAATACGTGGTGTGGTCATCACACCAAAAAATAAAAACCTCATTTATTTAAAGATCCACTTAGCACAGCTATGACCAGTTTTATCAAGGAAATAAGGAAGTATTAAAACCTACCCCAGGCTAAATTGCAAATTCTCTAAAGTAGGTGAAATATGATAGTAGGAGGCTATAAACACAATGGCCTGAACTTTGAGAGGTACTTCAGAATTTGAATTTTTTCTTTCTCTTTTATTTTTTCTTTTATTTTTCCTCTTTCTTCTGTAAGATGTGGGGCTTTGTTTTCTTTTGTTTCTAGAAAGTGTTTTGGCATCACTTAAATTTCTCTTCCTGGAAACCCAAGAGAGGTCAATTTTTCTTGCAAAGTAAGACAGTGCCAAGACATTCGAGTATAATTTCCCGAAGGAAGTACTTGTGGGGAGCTATCAGAAGGCTTCTTGGCTTTCTGATGGGACTGCTTAGCACAGTGCCACAATTTCCTGCCCTTTTTGGAGGACTGGGGCTCCCAGGGCCGAGCAGCCAGCCTTGCCTAGCTGGGGCGGGAGAGGGGATGTGCGGCAGCCCCCAGCAGTGTGTGTGGGAGCAGGAGGTTGAACCCTGGGGTTGAGGGGCTGGTGTCTGTAGGTGGGGCCAGTCCCAGGAGATCTGTGGGGATTTGGAGAAGAGGAGCAGCAGCCATGGCCTGTCAGAGCTGTTTTCCTGACCTGCTCAGGTCTGAGTAGAAAAAAAAACACAAACCCCAGTCTGTCTAAAACAACTGGGCTAATAGCGGTTCTGTGGCATCATCCCTGCGATTAGGGGTCTCATCCACGATTAAGCTGTAAATAGAAACTGCCTTACTAATAATCACTGGCTTTAAGTAGGATGACCTGTAAAGGCAGGGTCCTTCACCAGACTGGCCAAAAAAAAGCCCAGCCCAAACCAGAACAACAGAAAAGCTTCTACGATCCAAGTTTAAATGTGTTGTTAATGAGATGTTAAGGGAAATGGTCAAGCTGAGACCCACATGCTACGACATCAGTACGTTGGTATTTCTGGTCTTGTGTGGTTTCAGATGTGGGGTACACACATGCAAAAAAACATTGCAGTGATGGTGATAATATCTTTTGGTGGGAGGGAAGTAATGTTTGAAAATAGCACATAACCAAGGAACTGGGAGGCTTTATAATACTCTGTTGCAAATAAAGCCACTTATTCAGTGTTGGCATAGAGAGTTCCTATTTGGGGGAGTACAGTAACCTATGTTTGTGTGTTAACTTTTTGAAGGAGGTGACAAATCTCACTCAGTTCCTTATGCTGTGAGATGTGTGGTTGCCAGTCGTGCTGTGAGACTACGGTGTTCCAAGCCAGAGAGGATAGTTGGAGTATCTAACCCTACATGCTTCTCCTTGCAGGACTACATTGATACTGAGTTGCTCCTCTGTGGGGAAAATGTGAACCAGAGCAATTTGCTGTCCTACGCCAGAGAAGCTGCTGACTTCGCAACCAACTACCAGCTGCCTTCCTTGGATTTTGCAATTAATCACTATGGGCAACCAGATGTAGCAATGTTTGATTTTACTTCCATGTATGCATCTGAAAATGCTGCACTAGTGAGAGAGAGGCACAGACATCAGCTCCTGGTGGCGCTTGTTGGAGATAGTTTGCTTGAGGTATATCTTGGAATGTCTTCCAGATAGTCTTCCCCCCCCCTCCTTAATCCAGGCATTCAGTCTACCCTCCAAAACAAACCGTCCTCTAACTTACATGTCCTGAAACAATGGTACCTTCTTTGGAATAGATTTTTTTTTTTTCCCCTTTTTTTTTATGCCATAGTTTATGTCATAACTAATGCTTGGCTGGCAGTCTCTGGCGGAGATCCTGTTTTGCTTTATGCAAGTTGTATTTCTGTCTAAAACTGTGAGCTGTGTGTCCTCAGCGTGGGTGCATGGCATGATTTTCCTGACTTCCATAATAGCGGAAAGCTGGGTCCAAATTTTTATTGCAATCTCTTTGCCTTAATATGCTCTCTTTTTCCGAAGTGAAAAGTATATGTTGCAACTGATAATTTTTTTTTTTTTAAACTCTTGCTGACAGCCTGAAGCGTTGGAAAAGATCAGTCCAAAGCAATATTAAGAGATGAGAAGAAAGGCATCTTTTTTCCCTTTTTTCTGTGACTGATTCTTGAGTATCGAGTCTTTTTTTTTTTTTTTCTCAGCCTTTACCTTTTGAGATTACGAAATTTGTTTTTAAATATAGAAGTTAAAAAAAGAAAAAATGAAAGCAGTCTTTTTCATTACCTAAGACTTGGAGGAGAGAAAAGTCTAAAAACTGCAAGAGTTGGCTGTGTTGTATTTTAACTCCTTCTGGGCTACTTTTCAAAGACAGCATGAAACCCTAGACTCCAAATTCCCATTGCAAGTTACTTTTGTAATCAGACCTTAAGAAATACAAGGAATTACAATGTAAATGCTTTTTACAGCCCTTCTGGCCAATGGGTACTGGCTGTGCAAGAGGCTTCTTAGCTGCTTTTGATACTGCATGGATGGTGCGGAGCTGGGCTCAAGGAAAACCTCCATTAGAAATCCTTGCTGAACGGTGAGTGCGGCTTTTGTCTTCTCCATTGTTTCCAGTGTTTTAAAGAGTTGCAGTATTGATAGAAGGCAGTGGAATTCAGAATGCCAACAGGAGAAATATTCTTCTTCATTGCAATGGCATTGGGTTGAAATGATCCATTCCTTCAGGTTACTGAACAATTTACAATAGAAGTAGGCCATTGCTCTGTACGTTTCTGCACACTAATACAGAGGTCCAGCAATATGCACGACATGGGTTTAAATCACTAATTTAAATCACTAATGACTAGAATGAAGTGCGATCCTTAAGGAAATAAGCCAAAGATACCTTGTGTCAAAAGACTAACCCACCAACCATCTCAGCACCTGTTTTTTTTTAATTACCCCCTGTCCCCCCCAAAATCCTGAAACAAGTCAAAATAAATACTTTAACACTAACAGTTTTCATAGTTAGTATCTGTGATTTTAACTCTGCATTTTAGCTTAGTAGCCCTGATGCCCTCTTTATTTAGACTGATAAATGTGTGGCAAAGGAAAATTGCTATAATGCTGCATCATAAGCTTCTCTATGTAATCTCTTTTTGACCAGAGCAAAAAATGTGTTGTTAAGTACACCAGCAATTCTGGTGTTGCCATGGTCTGATGGTTGAAGTTGCCAACTTTGGTCCTGATGGCAACTGCACTCCTCTGCTACAGCTGCCCAGGCTGTTTCGGGGCAGATACATAATAGAAATAGTCATGGTTGTGGTAATGCAAGTAGAAGCATTACTAAGTAAAGTGCTTTGAGAAGTTTTAAGATAGAAGCCTGTGGGATGACTCAAACATGGCGTAGTCCCAAGTGGAAAATTGAACAGCGTAATAAAAAAGGCTGTGGTGGCTATAGGAATTGCAGAATGACGGGATTTAGTGCTGTTATGTGGTAAAGAAGTTACTCTTTGGGTGGATGTTAAAGCAAAACCAGATGACTGAATGATGTAATCTAAGAGTCTGTCTTTTTGTTGTCCTTTTTCTGTCTGGCATCTTTCTCCTGCTCAGTGGGTATAAGAAATGGGATGGATGCATTATGCATTTAGTTGGCAGAATCAAAAATAAGGTGCGGATAGCTGCAAAAAAAATACTCTTTATATAGTAAATACCTATTTTAATCAATCCCTCTTGCATATTTTTTCTTTATAAGAGAGAGCATTTATCGACTCTTGCCTCAGACTACCCCTGAAAATATTAACAAGAACTTTGACCAGTATACCATTGACCCGGGAACAAGATACCCAAACTTGAACTCAAGCTGTGTTCGACCTCACCAGGTCAGTACTTAAAAGGCTTGCTTGTGAAATCACAGTTCATTTTTTGTCCCTGAGAAATAGAGCCACAAGTAGTGCATGAACAAAATCTTCAGGAGACTCCTTAAATTTAGATCCAGCTGTTGATAAAGTTATCCTAGAAAGAAAACTTTTTTTCTCTCCAAACAATTCTAACATTATGCTACCAATCACTTTTACTTATAGGTGAGACAATTATATGTTACCAATGAGTTACAACAATGTCCTCTTGAAAGAGTAAGCTCCATTAGAAGATCAGTGAATCTCTCAAGACATGGTATGTGGTATCTCATGTTTGCTGTGGGTTAATATTTGGAGTCTTTTGAGCATACAGAAAGTGATCAAAATGTTTGCTCTTCACTGTGACTGCAGAGTCAGATATTCGACCTAACAAGCTTTTGACCTGGTGTCAGAAACAGACGGAAGGGTACCGTAATGTTAATGTCACAGACCTGACTACCTCCTGGAAAAGTGGCCTTGCGTTGTGTGCAATTATCCATCGCTTCAGACCTGACCTCATGTAAGTGATATCTTTAGATCTTACTGAGTGTAGAATATATATTAAGCATTAACCAAAGTACAGTGTAAGACCAACCAGAACAACACTATTGATAGACTACAGTTCCTTTCTATTGCTGGTTTTTGCAAGGAAGTGCAAAACCGTTGCCATGTTTGGGGGATGGGGAGGGTGGGGTTGGTTTGGCTTTGTTTTTTCTGTGTTTCCTTGCATGCCATTTAAAATGAAATATATATGCTTTCAAAGAGCCAGGAAGGCTTTGAACCTTGTGACTTATGATCATATTTGTGGGAGTCACATGTCTATTTAAAACAAAAATTGCAGTGCTTGGAGAATGTGAAAGTTGCATTCCCAAGTCCCTGGAGACAGGTTTTTAGTGTGTGTTTAAAACCACAGCCATAATGGCATTGTCATGAATTGCAGAAATACCTGGGTGAGCCTTAAATGAGCCATCCTCAGCATGTTGTAGTGGTTGCAGTGACAATCACGTAGGGAAACGTTGGGCCATGGAGGTGCACAGGAGATGGTGGTTTCATACAGATCTTTGTCCAGAAGAGTGCAGTACCCTTGGACGTGGGCTGTGCAACAAGGGCTGACCCTTGAAAATTAATTGCTTTAGGTACTGAATGTAAGCCAGCATATTCCCCCTTTGACAGTGTGTCTGGGGTCCTAACCCCGAAAGACCTGACTTACTATATATGAGTATTTTGTAAGGTTCCCCAGTTAGATACAAGAGGGTCAGTGTGTAGCAGGTGTCAGGAAATGGCAATTGCTGGCGCTGGGTCACTGGGCCTGCTCAATGCAGTCTGTGGTGGGGTGACACTTCTGTCCTCTCACCAGTCTCCATAATGCAGAGATGCATTCTCTTGCCTTCCTACACAGACTTGGGAGTCACGAATGAATTATCATCAGCCTCCCTTTATTGTGGAAAGAAATGATTGAGCTCTTTTATGAGATGTGATAAGTTGGGAAAAATAGGAGTGATACCCAGGGTGCTTGTTTGTACAGCTTTGCCAGAGGAAGAGCTAACATTGTAAGAATAAGGTATTTTTTGCCTCAGGTTAGTTTAAAAAAATTGGGAATGATGGATGGTTTTGTGGATATAAGGCAGAGAGAGAGTGTAGAAAGCAAAGTAATCTTTGCTGTCAGTGGAAAGCATGTCTCTTAAGCACCGCTCTCCCTAGAAAGTTGATAGATTTATCTTCCTGAGCTAACAGACCTCCTGCTGTTTAATTAACATTGTGTTTGGATCTTGTTGGGTTTTTGTATTAAATGGGACTGCTGAAGGACTTGGCCAGATGAAAGCTGGGCAGGGCTGCCTGTGGGCTGCGGGCAGGGCTGGGGCGGAGGGCTGCCTCCAGCCCCCTGGCTCTAGAAATAGGCAGAGTGTGTGGGTGGGGGAGAGAGAGAGCAATTCTTCCGGGGGTCAAAAACTCACATTCCTTATGAGGAGAAAGAAACTACCCTGCCTGGAGCTTTGTAATTTATTCACATGTTTATTTTAATCATGAATTTTGGAAGCTGTTCAAGGGATCGGAGTCTTAGAATAGGTCCCATAGAAAATGAATTAGAGAATGGATAACGCAGTTCCAGATGTGTGATGTACTTATTTAGTGCACTGCTAAATCCAGTTAAGACACGGACAGGAGGTCTTCGTTCAAACTGTGCATATAACACCTTAAAAAGAAAGGTAGTGCCTGTGCATGTGTGTGTGCACACATATAATCAGTTTGTTTCATGAAATGCTAGCCTAAATGTACTCCTCCTGGCTTTGATGATTTATAGAACTAATCAAAACTAAAAAGTCAATTGCTAACAGGTGAAATCTGTAGTATCACAGCTGTATTTGGAGAGGAAAAAGGTTTCTTAGCACTTCTGAGGAGGAATTGCATTTCTTCATAAATAAGGGAATCCTTTTTCCTGGGACTACATCAAAACCCAGTTCAGTGAAATAGCTTTTAAATTATATTTCTGGCAAAGCCAGGATTTGTAATAATGGGATTCATATGAGACTTATACCTTGGGCACTGTGTAGACTCTGTAGCTTTTACCCAGTGCAATGCCTGTGCCCTCATTCATGGTGCTGTTCTGCATCTCTCTGATGGGCAAGGGAGCGCGCTGCATGTTTCTGAGGGGAGCATAGAGCAAACCGCGACTGATGGCAGTGTGTTGTCCCTGCAGTGACTTCGATGCTCTGAATGAAGAGGACATCGTCAAAAACAACCAGCTGGCATTCGACGTTGCTGAGCAGGAGTTTGGGATCCCCCCTGTGACCACGGGGAAGGAGGTTGGGTCGGCCAGGGAGCCTGACAAGCTCAGCATGGTCATGTACCTCTCCAAGTTTTACGAACTGTTCAGGGGCACACCTCTGCGGGCAGTAGGTAAGCCGAATCCAGGCTGCTCCTAATTCTTGCAAGGCTGGGGAGCAGAAGCATTTCATCCAGGCTGCTTACAAGCACTGCTCTTGAGCCAAGAGTCCTTTCCCAGCTGAGCTATTCTGGCATGTGAATGTGCCTGCTTCTGTCTTCAATAGTTACCTTGTGCTTAAAAAAGGAAAGAGGGAAAAACTTGATTGAAAACTAGGGTTTTGTGGGTCCTTAGTGGTTTCAGAGAACAGGGGCAGCTGGATAACTGCAGCTTGACATCATGAAGTTCATGTATCAGGTCATTAGAGTGATTCTTTGGTAAGGACGACTGCATATGGCATGTCCGCTCCTGGGTGTTTCTCTTCCTTTTTTGAAAAGTCACACTACATTGTATGTACTTACTTTTGTTTGCTGGGGTTTCTTATATATAATTGCTACCAACGATCAACTGGGAAGTTCTGGCTTAGTCAAAGTATTTAAAAAGGAAACCTGAATAAGTATCCTAAGCAGTTGTTTTTTGAACAGATGCTGGTGACAAGCAAAATGGAGTAAATAATGATCTTTGTTCAGCAAAATCATCGAACTTCATCTTTAATAATTACATCAATTTAACTTTACCAAGAAAACGAGTACCAAAGGTAAGTTGTGAAGGAAGACTTGCCCTATACATCTTTCTTGTTTAAAAAGATGAAAATAAACCATCAGGCTCGGAAATAAGGGGTTTATGTATATCCTACTATTAAAAAGACCTGAGAAGGAGATTTTTCTGAGCATAGTAAAAAAGTAAAATAAGATTTCACAGTAAATAAAGCTAACACACACATGCACACTCAATCATTATGATGTTTGTAAGGATAAAACTGAAGCATTGTCAGTGCCAAATTGCTGAAGCATTAATAATATTCACAGTTAAGTTTTCTCTGTAAATGCAAAATTTCAATTCACAGTGGAATTTGGATGCACTTGGGAAGAATTTGGATCCATTGTCCATGTCAATCTTCTTCAGCGTAGGTAAAAGTGAGGGGAGGAGGATGTTTTAATTGGTCTGTTTGTAAGTTGTGGTTTTCAACTTGAAATCTTTGAGATCTTGCCCACCTGTATAATCTTTTATTTTTGGAAATTTTTCAAAAGGTGTTTTTAGGAGGTTCTATGAAATGCTAGATGTTAAGTTTTGTATTTTTCTTAGGGGCTTTGGTTTTTTGGTTTTTGTTTTGGGGTTTTTTTTGAGATGGGAAAGTTTGGAATTTTTCTGAGCTATTTCTGCCTTTAAGAAAAATAGTACTGTAGTTCTGTGTTCCTAGAATTAAATATACAGCTATAATATCATATATATATGTTCAAATGATCATTGATATGCTAGAATGCTTATTGATTAGTCAGGGTGCTGTTTTTTAACTAAAGCAGTGATTTGAACAGTTTGTGGATATTGTCAAGGTTCTGGCGGGAAGCTTTCAAATCCTTATGGATGTGTAAAGCCTGCAATGGTGACAAGCAGTTGGGCTGGCTGACTAATATGACTCTGAGATAATGTCTCTTAGTCATACCCATGTAGTTTTCTCTCTTGGTCACTTATTAATGAAAACTTATTGACATGCCTTGTTTATGTCCATGTATAAAACTCTCCCCCCAGGCTGTATTGATACTGGGGGTTACCCCATCCCAGGTGCAGGACCTTGCACTTGGCCTTGTTGAACCTCATGAGGTTCACACAGGCCCACCTCTCCAGCCTGTCCAGGTCCCTCTGGATGACATCCCGGCCTTCTGGTGTGTCAACCGCACCACTCAGCTTGGTGTCAAGCTGACTCTGAGATAATGTCTCTTAGTCATACCCATGTAGTTTTCTCTCTTGGTCACTTATTAATGAAAACTTATTGACATGCCTTGTTTATGTCCATGTATAAAACACATCCATGCCCGTACATGTTGTGATTAAAGACTCCATGGCCTTGAAGGGTTATGGAGACCTGAATTAATACTGTCTGGCATAGGACTGTGTGCCGTGAGAGTATTGTCTCTGTTTCTGCATGGATTATAACTTCAAAAGTTTTACATTATTTAATTTAAAATGTACTCTAATGACATTATTCAGTAATAAACTGTTTCACCTTCTGCCTATTCATTAACTTGGTTCCTTTCTGAAAGGAGACCTTGAGGAGGGGCTTTGCTTTCACAGCCAAGCCTACCTTCTTTTTAACTTCAGTTTAGATGGGGAGTGTCTGCACAGCCTGGCTCAGAGGCAGCAGTGTCTCAAGCCCAACTGTTGCAGATGAACCAGCACAAGTTAGACAGCAGCATGTACTCTTCCACCAAAATGAATACAACTTCTGCGTTTTCTGAAACACAGCTTAAGGCAAAACTGTTTCAGGTTTTGAGTTTCCTGGGCTAGCCAGAAACGGTGTTTCAATTATGATGATTCTCAAGTTCATTCTTTCTCTGTTTTTCTTTTCTTCTTTTTTTTAAACAGACTTCTGTAATCCTTATCTGTATTGCTTTTACACCTATGCGGAAACTCTTAAGTTTTGCCTGTAAAAGTATAGATTTCCTACTTCTTTTGGAATTCAGTGTCCTTAATAAAAGTTCAGGTGTACATGTATGTACTGCAGTATTTTAGTATACTGCTTTTTAAATTTGTTGCTATCTTACCTTCTCAGGTCTGGTAGAAATGTGATTTTTTTTTTTTTTTTTTTTTTTTCACCTGAAGAATTACTCCAGAATTTCCAGATGTTTCCTAGACTGACTTAAGTCTTGAATATTTTCCATCCACAAACACATTTTGAAAACCTGTGGACAGTCAGTTACCCGGTAACCTCATATATCCCTCTTAGGAAATAACTTTTCCCTGCCACCCACATATACACAAAACCAAGTGACATGTTTCCCAGCTAACCAAGCAATGAGAGACCAAATAGGCAAAACAAACATTACTTTTTCTTATGGGTGACTTCTTTAGAAGAAAAACCTTTTTCATGACCACAGTGGTGTTGTTTTTCCATGAGTTATTTGCAGAGGTAAATAGACTTTTAGTAGTGGGGAGAGCTTTCCATTACTAAGCTGTATACAGCCCTCTGACTAACCTCCCATCATGAAATAAGCCTTCTGTCATAACAGGAGGTATAGTTCTTGGCACTACATGAAAGCGTGAGGTGATTTACTTGACCAGGCCCCTTTGGTTTCACACTACAGGGGCTCGTTTGAAAGGAGAGTGGAAGCGATATTTTCTAAATCAGCTTGGGGAGTGGGACTGCCAAGACCTTATTTTGTATGAGGCTTTGTAGCCCTTTCGTGGATGGGGCATGGAACTTAGCAAGAAACACAGTACTCGGGTTAGGACAGAGACTTGTGACTGCCATAACCATCTGAAACCAGCTGGGAAATGAAGCTCCTTGGAAAGAAACTGCTTAAGAGTTTGGCTGTGGCTTCAGTTTTATGGTTCTTTCCCCTGCAAAAAGTGGTGCTGAGCATTATCCAGGCGTGACAGCAGGAGAGCACTCATGTACCTCAGAGTCAAAAGCCAGCCAGGGTAACAGCGTATCACTTACAAAACTTTACATGCCATCTAGTTTGTCCTTTTATTTGGCTGGAAGAGGGATCTTTATCTGGTTGTGAGACACCAGGAAGCGGGGACCTGGAGCTGGTGTGGCGGTAGCTGTTCTGGCAGCGTGTGCTGGGATGGACAATGTTTTCCGTTCTCCTACGAGTGTCAGCCAGGACACTCCAGAACTCTCTCCAGGCTGGAAAGGGACTGAGATTTCCTGTGCTCCAGACTAATAAATGAATGGAGGTGTTTACACAATAAAGAGTATAATAATTTTTCTTGGAGTTTTGCTAGGCAATTAAATTGCTTTGTCTTTCGCTTCTTTGTAAATATGTTAATCAAAGTCCTTTATGTAAGGTGTTTTGAAAGGCAACATCTTGTTTGCGCCATTCACTTAGGCAAATTCTGCTTTTATGTGGTACAGATTATAATGCAGAATACCTTGTGCTGTTACGTTGTTCACTCTTGGCCAAGTAATGATTATAGGTAGTGTAAAGCTGGGGAGAGCTAGGGGCTTGAAAGACAATGCACCAAAGCATACAAAGTAATCAAAATACTGTCACCTGATTCTTTTGGTGTTTGCCCAGAAGTTGTTTAGGATTACTTCTGTTCACTGTGTAATGATTTATTATAAGCAGTGTATATATAAAGGAAGCCTGTATTCTTTGATCTTTCACTCTATTCTTTTTTCTTTAAGCTGGCTGAGCAATCACTGAGTTACAGCGTGGGCAAATGCAAATAAGTGGAATGTAGTTTATTGTTCATAAAATATAAGCTAACATGACATTTGTCAGACAAAAAAATCTCTCTATTGTACCAATTCTTCAAGACTGAATTTAATAAGAATTGATATAAATTTTTAAGCATTGACTGTTTTGCAAGTTTGTGCAGATTGAGTATGAAGTATTATTTATTGTTTGTGTAATCTCTAGTTCAGTAAAGTAATTGAATATGTGCATAGCTTGAGCACAAAATAGGCAATTTCATTGCTTAAGTACTGTAATGTAAAGCCATAGACAGGGAGATAAACCTTACAAGGGAGACAGACCTTTAAGGCAGACACCAATTGCTCCAAAAAAGGAGATATGTCTGCGCTAAGAACACATGATCCGCACGCAGGTGTCTAGGTTAAGAGATGTGGAGGTTGTAGTGAGAGTGAAGGGCTTTTTATTTTGTTATTCATATGGAAACCAGTGTAGTCTAGATTAAAATTCACAGAATAATCGATGCTGTAATGCCTTTTTCTTCAAGGATGCGCGTGTGCTTTGTGAATTATAAGCTCTTTATTACTGAAAGAGGAAAGGGTAAACACCAATGCAGGGCCTGTGTTCAACAAGGTGTATGAGCATGTATTTTCACCCATCAGAGTCCAGTGGGAGCTCCCAGTCAGAGGTTATATGGCAGCTTTTACATACGTGATAACTGCCACGAGGGCCACCAGGCTCCTCACGCAAGGAGCGATCCTGCTGAGGTGGGGGGGGCCTAACGAGGCGTGCCAGTGCAGTGAGGACCCCCGCAAGCTGGCACGGCTCACCTGTGTTCACCTTGTTTAACAGAGGCCAGACCACACTTTCCTGGTTATGAAAGTTAGTATTCTGAGAGGAACTGCTTGGGTAAATCTGGTAACTGCTACAGTAAACCATAGAACTTGTTTTGGGTTTGCCATTTCAGGTTGAAGGGAAAACAGAAGAAAATGAGACTAACAAAAGACGTCGAAAAGGTCTTTTTGGTGTCTTCGAGGAGGTTGGTGTTCAATGGTGTCCACATATATCTAGCTCCTTGATGAGCATCAGAGCTGAGGAAGCAGCGGGAGTCAAGGGGCTGGGGCTTGGCCTCTTGTTCCCAGCAGAAACAAAAAGCCTCTCTCATTAAAACCTTGAATTTACTAAAGAAAAGCTAAATTCACTTAAATAATTTGGTAGGGAGGAGGGCGTTACCTAAATTGGTTTTCTTTCTGACCCAAGAATGTCTAAGGTACTGGGGTTTTTTTTCCTTTTTCCAAGTCAGATATTTAAACAAATTTTTGTTTGAAGAGTTTGCGTTGCAGCTTGGTTTCTAGCCCCTCTCTGATTAGTTACCTTTGTGACTGCTTTATCATCACCAGCACAGGTTCTTGTTCCCCTTTTTACTGTGCTTTGGGACCAAAGAAAGTATTTTTTGGTGACTTTTGCATGATAAACAGTGTAATTTTTAGTATCCTGTAGACTGTATTTCATTTCACCCTTTGCTGATAAGGGTGTTACCTCTCTCTCTCCCCCTTCATGAGTGTCATAGGTAAACTTGAGAAAAACAGTTTGTTGTTTCCTTACAGGCTGCAGGCTTTTCAAGCCAAGGGACAAATGCTGGCAAAGAACAGAGTGATGGCAGAGAAGGAATGAACCAGAATAAAGTTAAATCAATGGCAACTCAACTGTTGGCAAAGTTTGAAGAGAATGCTCCAAATACAATTTTGAGGAGGCAGGTAGGTCATAGATGAACATAAAACTAATCTCTGAAATTAAACTGTAGTCCCTCTTTGTGAATGTGATGCAGATTTCCAAGGGAAAAAAACATTTGTTATGTTTTTGAAGTGGGTTGTCTTTTTTTATACTTTGTGCAAATCAAAGATATTCCTCTCAATACTTAGTGAACAAATACAACTATTATAGATTGAGTAATACATATTAATATAATGTATTAATATCTATTATATTAATAAAGTGTAGTGGAATTGCAATGTCTAGAAATCTTTTGTAAGCCAGTCTGCAGAATTCTTGGTTTGTGTGGAAGTCTAAGCTGGCTGCATATGGTATTGCAGAAGGATTTTTTTTTTTTTCCGATGTTCTACGGATAAAGGACACTACATATTCAGTTGAATCTTTCTTTGTGGAAAATTTAGAAAGTGTAAGAAGGGAACCTAATCTTTTTCAAGATGTGTCTGGCTGCCATTTCCATTCCTAAAGTAGGCATAATGGAATATATTTGTGCATTCCATAGCAATTTCATTGTTTCTTGTTAGTGTGACTAGTGGTGTTTTTAAAAATAATCCCATGCTGTCGAGGTAGGGATGGTAAGCTCAAAATCACACTTGAGCCAGTGAGATGGTTTGAGTTAGCTGAGTTCGGATCGGTCACCTAGAAGATCAGAACAAAGGATGAGCAAGGTGTTGAGATTCTGTCAAGGGTGGTGGCTTTCTTAATTCTTTGTGCTTGTATCCATTTGTTTATGTCCTCCAGAAGTGTAAGCTTTAGATGTCAAGTGACTTTCTCAGTCCATGAACCACTGTTGTGTGCACTCCACCTGGCTACTTGTCAATGCCCTGAGCTTTCTGCAGACAATAGGTGTGCAGAGGTTTGCTTGGCCATGTTGAAAGAAGCCTCAATGCCTTACCTGTTGATCATAAGCTCCCCTAAAGCATACTGAATGGGCTGAATTTTAAGTGTATCTTTGATGGTAGAAGGGGTTAATAAAATGGGTAGGTGACAAAAATCTGCAAAACGTGTTGTTAAGCTCCATAGTAACATGTCTTTAAAATGAGCTTTTATTTCTTTCTCTCTCAAAATATCTTTGAATCCTATTTACTGTCTTCCTTTTTTTTCCCCCACTCTGTCTTTATAATTTTAAAAATGCTTTACAAGGAGCTAATAGATAGACCAGCCCTGCTCTCTTCTGACCCTCCTGTTAATCCTCGCTTTGCTAAACCTAAGGATTCAAGTCTTCTTCCACCTCAACCAAAAAGGCAGGTAGGAACTCATATGGTAACACATGACAAGCACGCCATTTCTCTTACTGCTTGGAACTCAATGTTATTGTGTAACTACAGAATATATAAAACAATATTTGGTTGCAATCTGTAGAGTTAACAGATATATTTAGCTGAGAATTGTGAATACCACATTAAAGTTCAAGGCTATTTTACATCTGCTTGATCAGATGAGAAAACTATTTGAAAGAATTAGTAACTGTGTGGAAAAAAGCCCTAAAAACATAGGTGTTGATTTCTGTGTTATCCCGTTTAGAGTCCAAATTCTATAAATGTAATTACATAGCTACATCTCACATGTGAGAAAACTACAGCAGTACCTGAAAATTTGTTTGTGCATGTACTCAATGCTTTGGGCTGTTGTAATGGTAAGGCAAAAGGATTTCTCCACCCTGAGAAACTTGGCAAAAATGTCTAAGATAAAAGCTTGAGCATTGAAAAGCTGATACTGATGCCCAGGCTTTTTTATTTCTTTAAATACAACTTGTGGTAAGAATTTCTGTTGAAAGCTTTTTTGCAGCATCATATATATGGGGCAAAATTTTTTAATGCATTGTCTAAATTTTTCTCTTGGTACATCCAATATCATATCAAATAGTAATGACATTCTCTTTACATTAGAGTTTTAAATGGAAATATATACCCTGTAGTGGCATTTCAAGAGTAGTCTGCAGTGAAATGAGATCTGCATTGCATGTGGAAATCTGCAGATCAGCTTGATTCATAAACCAGTTGAGAATTGTTGTTTTAAAGGCAGGTGCTATCCTGAAACATCAGGAGCACACTGCAAGTTGATTTGCATTAGGTTTTTAAATTTTAATTCTGAGAAATTTGGAAAGTTTGTGTATTTATTTGAATTGGGCAGATAGGATGAAGTAGAAAACTGTCATGAAAAGACCAGCTGGAAGGTCATTTTTAAGACTGAATTTGGTAAAGCTGACTGGTTCAAATGTTTCATTTACTTCAAAAGCTAGTTTACATGAAGATTCAGAGCTATTCTGAACTCCTCAGAAAATGCTTTTAATCTGAAATACATTTATAGCTTGACTAGGGTCAGACTAGATCTAGAATTATGCCAAGAACTATTGTTGATATTCTTACAATTTAATTGTAAGTTTAGTTTCAGGCAGATGAGATGCTAAAAAAACAACCAAACAAACAAAACCCACCAAAACCCAAAAAAACTCCCAAAAACCAAACAAACCCAAACCTTTGCTAAAAACCTTAGAAGGAGATGTAGTGTCATGTTCTGCACTGATGTTATCTGGGGTTATTCATAAAGATCGAGACAAACCCAGAGAAGGATGTCAAGACCTAAGTTAATGTAGGACTGATTTATTTCAGTGCATGGATACAAGCATCAGAGATGCAGTAGACAGTGTGCCAAGAGTGATGTGAGAACATTTTATTACTAGTTATGTGCATGACTGTGCTGCGCTTTCGGAAGCATCCTTAAAAGCTGCATATACTGCATGGTAGTGCAGAAAGCAGATTTTTTTTCACTTCAAGTGTTTCCCAGTTTCAGGTGGTAGCTAGGAGTGAACACGAGGTCAGGGAACCCAAACAGTCTTTAAATGGTTCTGATCATATGGCCAGGAGAACAAAGACTGTACAAAAAACAGATACCCAGCCCAGTCTGTCAGAAACCTCTGAAAATCTCTCAACTGCCTGTTCTGCTGCATTTGTACTTTCTGGAGTGCTTGAGCGTCTTCAGCACCTGGAGGAAAAAATTAAACAGGTGACAAGCAATTTCTTTTCCTTTCTGTCTCTTAACTGCGTATGTTAATCTGTATACTGTATTTTCCCTGGTTATGCTGGTTTTTTTCTCTGTTGACTTTAGGTTGTATTAATACAATAAAAAGTCTTTCTACAAGCTTGCTGTATCCTGATGATGCATGTGACACTAACTGAAATCTATCTTTTTCTTTTCTTGGCTTTCCTTCCCTGGCTCTTACTGCAGAAAAGAGCTCAGACCATAGCAAACAGGGAATTCCATAAAAAGAACATTAAAGAGAAGGCAGCACATCTTGCCTCAATGTTTGGATACATGGAGTTTCCGAAGGTGAATATTAGGGTTTGCACCTGAAGAAATGCTGAGTTAGAAGACATAAGAATTCATGGGGGAAACAAATTGTGGTGGCTTTGTTTTTAACTTTCCTTTGATCCTGGGTGGATCTGCAAAGTAATGTGGATACCACTGAAGCTTGGTAAAAAGCTTTGTTTAAATATTATTGCATAATTTAATTGAGGTAAAACACAATCTAAATCATAAAGCCTAGTCAGAGTACTTTAGCACTAGAGAAATGTGTTAGAATAAACCATGTCTTGTGCTTAAGTATACACTGGTAGCTCACAGTTTCTAATGAACTGGTGAGTAGTAGCTCTTAGTCAGTGCAATCTGGCATTTCTTATGTTTCATCGTGCTTTCTCCCAGGACCATCTTACCTTCCTGCCCACTGTAAATATTTTTGATAAGAAAACTGAGTACAGTAATGTAATTTGACATGAAGGTTTTGCCATGGAGGTTTCCATGGCTCCTCACTGTGCAGAAATAGAGAAAAGAACAGAATTGTAGTTGTTACCTTTCTATTTTTTTGATGCATGACTGTGAAATTATTCTCTTAACCTATGCTAATGTCACTGTCTGTCGGATAACTCTCCTGTTTCTGCTTTACACAGAATAAGCTACCTACTAAAGGCTTATCCCATTCTCAGCCCCCAACTCCCTCTTGCCCTCCACCTCCTGATTCAGCTGCTGCCTCTTCTCCATCATCTGTTGGTTCAGCTTCCCCTGCTGTTCCTTCTAGACAGGTACTCTATTAACAGATTTTTCCTGTAAAATCCAAACTTGCACTAAAGCTGCTTGAGAAATGGCTTGGATGGAAGGCGCTGTTTGTATGGGTTATATTTCACATTTGAATCAAACTTTGTTGTGTTCACCATTGTTAATTCTGCATGTTTGCAAGAGGAAAATTGTCGTTAAAAATAGTTCAGTTATAAAGCTAAAGAACAGAGCAAATAGTTTACAATTTTTCTTCTTAAATTCTGAAAATTTTGCATTGCTGCTTGTTTTAAACATTCTTTTGTAGGGTAACACCACAGACCTACCTAGCAGGGAGAGAGCTTCACATTGTATGGCTAACTGGATGTTAGGGGATCAGTTAGTTGTTCTTGGGTGGCGTTTGTGTTTTCTTTTCCTAAGACTATCCTTTTGGACCGCAGGGAAGAACCTGCACAATAATGGCTATTTTAACTAGAGGACATGTCTTAGAATTGTATGAGAACTTGTCGATAGAGACATTTTATTGTTGTTTTGTTTGTTTACTTATTTGTGCTTTAAACTTGCTTCTGCACATTAATTGCTCAAATACTGTTCTTTGTAACTGAGCTTTGCAGAGAGGAAACTGAATACTCTGCAAGCAATTAGATAACACTTGAATCAGATATACTCAGGTCTTACTACTTATGCTGATGTTACGATGGGCTGTGTTTTTATCTGTGGAAGATAAGATGACATTGGCTTCTAACTCCCCATGTTTTAGAAGGATTTTAATTGAGGGAAGCTTGATATTTTTCAGCTTTTCAGGGCAGGTAAAGGCCTGGGTTCCCTTTCCTTCACCCCACAGATGAAGTAGCAGCAGTCTGGGACTACTGCAGTATTGAATGGGGTTGATGTGGCAATAAAGGTAGAAGTATCACATTTCCAGAAGTATTGAAGG